TAAAGTTTCATAAAGTTTGAAGCATTTAAAAAAATCATATTTTGGCAGTTTCCATGGTAACGGCGGCAATTTTAAAAATTCCAAAGTCAAACTGCTACTACAAATTGTGCTACCCATAAAAATATACCATTATATAAATTTTATGTCTCCAGAATTAATTCAACACTGATGTTCTGGAATGTTCCATGAAAATTCACCCCCCCCTCAAATTATGCCAAGGAGACACCCAGGTTAAATAAAAAATGTTCCATGTTGAAGTGGACATGTTGCTCTAAATAATCATAGAAATATTCCTTTACTACCTTTTATAGATAAAGCACTTATCTTAGAAATGGTAGTATTCGCTATAAATTTATTACTTTGGGATACCATACGGCATATTTTGTTAAAAGTGAACAAAAAGGAAAAACATGCTGCGCAGAGGAAGAAGTTTCTTATTGATAACATATCTATTGAATTCAGAGGTAGACTTTTCCAATAAATTCCGTATTCCTATGGGAACGAACTGTGTGCCTCTCCTTGTCGACATATTCTTATTTTCATATGTGTCAAAGTTTCTTCAGACACTTGTTGTCGAAAACAAGAAAATCAAAGAAGCCAGATCATCTAATTTCACATTCAGATATATTGATGAAGTTCTTTCCATAAACAATCCAAACTTTTCTGATTGGGTTCCATTAATATATCCTTCAGAATTAGAAATTAAAGAAACAACAGACACGGCTTCCTCTGTCTCATTTTTAGACTTATACTTCGAATTTGACATAAGCGGTCATCTCAGTACTAGAATCTATGACACACGAGACGATTTTAATTTTAAAATTATCAATTTCCACCCAACTGAGTAGCAATATACCAAGTTCACCTGCGTATGGGATATACATTTCCCAACTCATTCGGTATTCACGAACTTGCAGCTGCTACTCTGACTTTGTAAAACGTCACCAGTGTCTGAGCAGAAAGTTGATAAATCAGGATTATGTGAAAGAACGTCTTGTCCCTTTTCTACAAAATTTCATCGGATGATACCAAGACCTTGTTGATAAATATTCCGTATCAAATTCACAAATAATACATTCGTTTACCGATAATATATATGTGTGTCTCAACTCATTAGTGACACGTTTTCCCGGTTTAAGATCTTAAGTTGCAAGAAGAGTCGACTTTGATCTTTGATGACTTAGCAGCAGTATACCAACTTCATACGTAAGATATATTTCACAAATTTTTGAAATATTCATTGTTATTGTTACTTCGGTTTATCAATCTTTAAAAATGTTATTGTTCGCCGTCAGAGTACTCGCATTTGTGTACTTTAATTACCAAAATTCTATTTGGATACTCCACTCATCACAAATTTGGAAAGAGTTTTCAATTCCAATCCTAACCATGATAGACTTGCAGTATTCCCCAATGCACACATGAAGCATAACAATATAAAAGTTACATGTCATTTACAACTATTTAAAAGTAATAATGTTAAAGCAAACAGTTGTTTTATAGGTTGTTCTAATGTTGTACTGTTACACCACTGTCCCAGGTTAAGGACAGGGTTTGTTTCCAGCAAACAAGTTAAACCCCGCCACATTATGTATAGGCCTGTCCTAAATCAGGATCATGTGTTCAGTGGCTGTTGTCATTCGTTGTTTTATATCATATTTGTTTTTCGTTCATTGTTCTGTACATAAATCAGGCCGTCAGTTTTCTCGTTTTAATTGTTTAACACTTGTCATTTTGAGACCTTTAATAACTAATTAAGTGGTATGGCTTTTTAGTTTTACATTGATAATCACTATACACACGGCTTCTGAAGAAAAAGCTTTTTTTTTCTTCTATTTTGGATAATAGTTTACAGATCTATTTTGGATAGGGTTGATTGACACCATGAATCGTTTTGAATAAAACGAAAAGTCAAATAATATCTGATTAGATTAGGTGTTAATACGTTTTTGCCTTGAAGATCTATCGACACAAGTTCAGTAGAACAAAATCTGCAGAAAGATTAAAAAATGGAGAAAAAAACAAATATCAGCATGTATAAATAATGTAACACAAACAAACAAACTATAAATAGTTATCAAAGGTACCAGGATTATAATTTAATACGCCAGACGCGCGTTTCGTCTACATAAGACTCATCAGTGACGCTCAGATCAAAATAGTTATAAAGCCAAACAAGTACAAAGTTGAAGAGCATTGAGGACCCACAATTCCAAAAAGTTGTGCCAAATACGGCTAAGGTAATCTATGTCTGGGATAAGAGAATCCTTAGTGTTTCGAAAAATTCAAAGTTTTGTAAACAGGAAATTCATAAAAAATGACCATATAATTGATATTCATGTCAACACCGAAGTGCTGACTACTGGGCTGGTGATACGCTCGGGGACGAAACGTCCACGAGCAGTGGCATCGACCCAGTGGTGGAAGTAGTTATCAAAGGTACCAGGATTATAATTTAATACGCCAGACGCGCGTTTCGTCTACATAAGACTCATCAGTGACGCTCAGATCAAAATAGTTATAAAGCCAAACAAGTACAAAGTTGAAGAGCATTGAGGACCCAAAATTCCAAAAAGTTGTGCCAAATACGGCTAAGGTAATCTATGCCTGGGATAAGAAAATCCTTAGTTTTTCCAAAAATTCAAAGTTTTTTAAACTGGAAATTTATGAAAATGACCATATAATTAGTATTCATGTCAACACCGAAGTGCTGACTACTGGGCTGGTGATACCCTCGGGGACGTAACGTCCACCAGCAGTGGCATCGACCCACTATATAAAGTTATCTGTTATTGTGTCATAAAACGACTTTTTTCATACATTTACTTACAGTTGCTGAACGATATCAAACTTGGATGAGGTCTCTGCAAATTGCTTTATCAGTGATTATCGTGTGTCTCGTTCTAATTCCAGGTAAATTAAATATCATTACTGTTTCTAATTTTTGTGTTACTAATAATACAATACGTACATGTTTTCATGTGCATGTATTTGTGGTATCCTTTAGAAACTTTAAATAAATCTAACACAACAACAGTAGTTGTCCTTTTTTAGATTTAAACATTTCAATTGTCTAAAGGGAAACTCCATACTAAAACTTACGACAAAAGGGACGATTTTTTCATTCCCTATTGTTAATTTTCCTTTTTTAGACAACGATGTTCATTTGGTTCCATCATACGGTGTTTATATATCCCAACTCGTTCGTAATGCCCGTGTGTGTAGTGATGTCATAGATTTTAAAGAACGTAATCAATGCCTTGAAGATCTATATTTCGTTACCATAAATTACTTAAAACTTTTACTAAATTTCTTAATAGATACAATGATTTGATAAGCAAATTTGGCTGTACCTGTATTTATTATAAGGTTAAGTCCTAACTATCCTACTGCCTGTCGATACTTTTATTTTGGCATTGCACAAGTCATGTCTTGAACAAAACCATGCAACGAGTCTTCCAAATACTTTATAATGTGATTTTGTTTTCATTTGGTACCGTTATCAGTTAAATGTAGTTATCAAAACAATTAATACACAAAAAATGGAACACACCGGCACTATCTAATGGGTATTCTGAAAGACAAAATGGTGCAATGAATACGATCAGACAAAGCTGATTAAATCCTGGATTTGTTTTAGATTTTTTCGGAATAAAGGCATATCATGATCACACTTGCACGAAAATCGGAGGCAATTTTTGCAAACAATTTGATCATGTTAATCGTCACTTACTTTCAATGGGCTTTTAATTCTCAAATTAAAAAGTAATCATTTTTTTTAACTGAACACCAGCTGTAAATTTTCAGCCTTAAGTTATATCATCTCACAAAGGGTCAACCCCGGTTTTGGTGGGTTCGTTTTTCTCAGTCTTTAGTTTTCTATATTGTGTTCAGTATACTGTTTGTCTTCGTTGGTTTTTACGTTTTTTCAATGATGTCGTCAGTTTGATTTCTATTATGAGTATGAATGTCCCATTGGTATCTTTCGCCTCTCTTTTATCTAATTAGCTATCTATTGCTTTTCTTTCATTTCAGGACTATCGCTATATACATTTTTGGGGGAAAATAACTGTAAGTATGATACCAATACATCAATATATTATCATGTAGGAGTTATATAAGTATCCAATCCAATTAATATTTGGGTCCGTAAAATGTATTTGTAAAGCCTGGTCAAAACTTACTTTATCGAGTAAGGGTTTATGTTCAGATGAACTGCAAACACATGTAACATTCGATCGAATGTTTCCCAATGAAAATATTCGAACATCACATCCTACGGAACGGCTTCAGAACTTACAAATATAACAGAGCAGAATGAATATCTGATTTTAATCCAAATGATATGCATTTGTTTTTTTTTTAAATAATGAATAAGGTTACATAAAAATCTCTCCGCAATCAATTCTATCAATTGATTATATTAATTGCTACGAATCAGCTTTTTTATTATAAATGAGCCCATAGGGTAAATGATCATGAAGTTACGATTCATTAAGTCAGTACTGATTTTTTATGTTTGAATTAGTTCGAGATGTGTATTTCTGTTGATAATTAAGGACATTTCGCAATACCTGTACATATGTTATTCGGTTTGTAGAAAACCCATTAATTCATAGTCTTATCCAGCGATTTGTAACCCAACTGCTCTAAAGGTAATAACAAATTTGAATTCACCGTAAAGATTAATATTTTATTATTTTTATCTATTCGCTTGATGTGTTTGAGCTTTTGACTTTGCCATTTGATTACGGACTTTCCGTTTTGAATTTTCCTCGGATCTCGGTATTTTTGTTGTTTTACTTTTTATGTGCTGAACTAACATATCTTTCATATTTTTTACTTTATATCTTCATTCTTGTGTAGTGAAACTCGTCGTTCGCTTTTATTCAGGTAATTAAAAATTTCAAAATAATGTATGGCTTTTTTGTTATAAAACAAATAATTGTTATTTCTTAATTTAATCATACTATTTTTTTTCACAACCAAAATAGATCCATTGCCTCCGAATGGTGTACGATTGCAGAATGACGTATTTGGTATAACTGTCAGTTGGTCTGATCCTACATATACACCAAAGTATAAGGTATTGCAGTACAAAATAGAATGGAAAGTAAATGGTTTAGTTGACAGGTTTTGTAAAATAGTTTCCGGTAGAACCTTCACATATGTAATTTGCGATGTGTTTCCATGCACAATATACACAGTAACTGTGAGGACATGTACATGTGCAAATGTAGATGAGGAACGTCAAGAATGCTGGAGAAAAAGCGATCCAAGCGAGGAATTAACAATTATATCGGAAGGTAAGAATTTATTATTTAGTCTCAGTTTCTAAATATAATCAATAGAAGAAGCTTAATGCCTGATAAAATACACTGGAAAAAACTGGAAAAAGGTGAACCAAACAAACAATAAAATTGAGTGGTTACAAACGTGTTCCTGTACGGCAGACGTCATACAGTGACGGCAAGAATGAAAAAAACCTAGCATTATCCTTTAACTCCTTTAAAGTTGAATCATCTTTTCGGAAGTTTTCACTGAAATTGTTAATGCAATGAGCATCTCCACGCGTATCACCTATAGATCTGGATCTTCCTACCCTTTCGATTCACCAAAAAATTATTTGGATTTTGGTGGGGTATGTGTTGCTAGGTCTTTAATTTTTTTATTTTATATGATGATTTGTGAAATATTGTTTTTTCTTCATTTCTCATATTTTACCGTGGTGACGGGTTTTTTTTTTTTTTGTTGTTTGGTTGTTGTTTGTTTTTGGGGGATTGGATTTTTGTATTGGCGCTTTGGTGTTTTTTTTTTTTTTTTTTTTTTTGTTAAAAGCAATGGAAATATCAATTAATCTTTTTGAATGTCTACAATTAATAAGGTTTAAGATCAATGTTGGTTTTTAAGGTTCAGTGGAAATTAAGTTATGCATTAGCAGAAAAAAACCAAAGATATTATCTCAATACTGATGGAACCTGAAAAAAGGATTTATTCTTATACAAGACTATATCGGTGATGATTTGTTCGGATTAATAAAAAGTAAAATCACAAAAATACTGAACTCCGAGGAAAATTCAATCGGAAAGTCCCTAATCACATGGCAAAATCAAATGACAAAACACATCAAACGAATGGACAACAACTGTCATATTCCTGACTTGGTACAGGCATTTTCAAATGTAGAAAATGGTGGATTGAACCTGGTTTTATAGCGCTAAACCTCTCACTTGTACGACAGTCTTATCAAATTCCGTTATATTTACAACGATGCGTGAACAAAACAGACATTATAAATAAAATAGTCAAAATATGGGTACAGCAGTCATCACTGTGTTACAATATCAAAACAAACAATTATTTACAAAAAAGAACAAAAGCATCTATCAAATTAAAAACCACATTCATTGCTTTGCGTGTCTGACGTCAGAAAATGTAAACGTCACATAAGAAGAAATTTTGTCATTCAATGTTTATTCAAAACAATTTTATAATTTCACATGTAGAATGTTGGTATACAGGGTAATATAATAAACCTGCAAAAAACGTAACTCTAAACTAAAGCCTAGTCATTACAGTGCATTATCCGAACTCTCAGTTGGATACAATGAAAAGCATAGATGATTGAACTATATTTAGTCATATGTTAGACCGCTTTTGGTTATACCCGTAATCATATAAAATGCTTAAGTGATTTAGTGTTTTTCCGTTATTAACTACATGCATTAATGTACGATTTTTTTTTACAAATGCGAAAACAAAAACAAAAACTCACCTTCAGTACAAATGCATAAGACGGTCGATTAAACTTTATTCCACCAACACTTTCGAAGAACTTGTAAGTTTTTGTTTTTCTCGTTTAGATCCATTACCACCACGAAATGTAGATGCTACAGCGGGAAATGGTGGTATTTACCTTACATGGGTACCGCCACTGTATCCATCTAGTCAAAACATTAAAAAGTATATGATAGAAAGAAAATGCAATGGTCACAAAGATATTATGTATTCCTCAGCAGACAATACTTCTTATTTAATGTCAGATGTTTTGCCTTCTCAGACGTATTCGTTTGCTATGAAAACATGGTGTATAACGTCGGACAAGGACTGTGAAAGTATATTTAGCAACAGTATCAAATATACCACGAAAGGTAAATTATACATCTATTTTAAATAATTTGGAATTTGAGTATATTTATATAAAAAGAAATTACAAGTTTGTAAAACTATGAGATTATATACACCAAATATATGATGTGTGCGTATTGATACTTTGATATCAGTTACAAGTCACAGTATAAACATTTTGAGCGAAACGAACGTTATTTAATTGCTTTATGATGAGAAGAGTAACTGGTCTTTTAGATCGTTAGTTTTTCGTTTGAATTTGAGAGTTGTCTTATTGGCAATCATATCACATCTTATTTGTTTTTATTTTTACAATATCTCCGAAGAAAAGTTAAATTCTGGGGCCTTTTGGTTATGATCAAAACGATATGTTTTCTTAATTTAACAATCTTACTGAAAGTATAATTATTTGGTACAAATCAACATTAATAATTAATGAATCTTTGTCACATTAGTTTAAGATTGGTAAAACATATTTGACGTCGGAAAATTATACATGTAAATAAATTCGGAGCAGGATTGTTATACAGATGTTCAGTCAAAACAAAAACTATATTTATATTCGAACTCTGTAAACCAGATTCTTACAAAACAATTTGTGGATAAATATGATGTTTGCCATTTGAAGTTAAACATTATATTTCGTATTAATGTGTTCAGACGACTATTTTGGACCCTTCCCCTATGTTATGGTCCAGTGACTTTGAATTAATGAACAATTTTCGAAGTTAAATTTTCTGCTTAAGTTAGTTTGAAAGGAACAACTTGTGATAGATCAATGATATTTTCTATAAAGTTGCATTACTATCATTACATATGAGATTTACGACTATTTCGAGACACTGCCCCCGTAGGTCATGATCATGGTCCAGTGAATTTCAATTAATTACCAATTTTCATTGTTAAGTTTTCTGCTTAATATAAAAAAGAAGATGTGGTATGATTGCCAATGAGACAACTCTTCAAAAGAGACCTAATGACACAGAAATTAACAACTATAGGTCACCGTACGGCCTTCAACAATTAGTAAAACCCATACCGCATAGTAAGCTATAAAAGGCCTCGAAATGACAAATGTAAAACAATTCAAACGAGAAAACTAACGGCATAATTCATGTACAAAATAATGAACGAAAAACAAATATGTAACATAGCAACAAACGACAACCACTGAATTACAGGCTCCTGACTTCGGACAGGCACATACATTCATAATGTGGCGGGGTTAAACATGTTTGGCGGGCGCCCAACCCTTCCCTTAACCTTAGACAGTGGTGCAACAGCACAACACAAGAACAAACTACAAGTATACAAAACAATAAACGAATAACAAATATGATAAACAGAAAAAAAAACAACCACTGAATTACAGACTACTGACTTGGGACAGGCAATTATAGAATGTTGCGGGGTTAAACATGTTAGCGGGCGCCCAACCCTTCCCCTAACCTGGAACTGTGGTGTAACAGTACAACATACGAACAAACTATAAAAATCAGTTGAAAAAGGCTTATCTCATCAGATGGATACAAATAGAAATACATCTAACAAAAACACAGAGTGTACGTGGCCGGCTACTTGTACATCCCAACAACCAAAAGACACTAAGTACAGATCTGAGAGTACTCGCAGTTACTGACAGCTAGTTCAAAGTTAATAACAACTAACAGAAAAAATCATGCATCTAAGACTAAGTTCGTTTGATAGGAAGTTACATTACTGTCTGTACATCTAAGTTTTTTTAAGCTTGTTCTCCGCTGACTACTACACTTTGTTCATAGACAGTCGGTGAGATCCGATCTATTGTAGAATCTGATTAGTCATCCATTCAAATAACGTGTATTATACCGAACTTTCCTTTGAAAACATGTTTGAAATTTTATTTTATGCTACAATCCAAGAAATGTTATCGCAAATCAGCTAATGAAGATTGAAAGAATATTCTTGTTTCAAACCAGCAATCTTATGGAACAATTTTTTCATTGGCTAAAATTTATTGTCAAATCCACAGTTGACATATCGTTATAGCTTTCAATTCAAAAGTTTCCATTTTGTATGACGTCACGTTTAAGAACCACGTTGATGTGCCAAAATCATTCATGAAGTTTAGCGGAATTTTATTTTATTTCAAATTGATACCTTTTTAAATATTTATTTTCTTTTTGTAATGCAATAGATTATTTAAATTTAGAATAGGAATTTATTTTACGCATTAGTGTTATGCTTTATGCAATAGGAAACAAATTGTTCTCTTAGTTTACACATGTTACATTTTCGGATATTGTATGTTGCTATGTAAAAAAGTATCGTCCAATCTCGTTAAAATCTCCAGGGCAAAATTTTGTCCTACAAGATCGGGTCGTACCCTGTTGTTTGAGTGTAGCGTAATACAAACGGATTCTAGTTTAAGTTCTTTTTACCGTTTCGAGGCCTTGTCAGATATTTCATGGTCAAGCGACTTGTTGTGATGATGTCTAGGTGTGAGAACCGTTTTTTTTTTAAGTGGTTATCTTTCCAAAGTTGAGATGAAAAACATGTTTACGTGATTTTACAGGTCTTTATAAAGTGTTTGTCTTAAAAAGTAGTGTTAGCAAAGTTAGATGATGGACATGACATGTTCCTTGGTATATACATTAGAAGGAAGACAATAAGTACGGCGGCTTCGTGAAAAATTGTGCACATCCTGCTACAAGCATGAAACTTGGCACAAAGCTTCCTCTAGTATTACTCTTTGATTTCAGATAGGGAGGCAATCTGAAAAAATGCACCACTTCCAGTAAAATCCGATATGGCGGACATTATACCTAAATCAGCCCAATATCGAAGGCTGGTATGTGACAAGGTGTTATAATCATGCTACTATCATTATATTCGGCACAAACCTTTGTTCTGTAATACTTTTGGATACATTATATAGATTATATGTCTTTAAAAACCCTACGTCCGGTAAAATCCAATATGGCGGACATTGTACTAAAATAAGTGTATGTTTAGGTAGGGTTATTGAAATGTGTTTTAATGTATTGCTATTCATTATATTGTGCAGGAACCTTTCTTTGGTGATTCTCATGGATAAAATATATAGGACATATGTCTTTAAAACCCCTTCTTCCGGTAATAACCAATATGGCGGACATAGAAATATCAATTTTTAATTTCAATATTTAACTTTTTTCAAAATGTTAAAAAGTGTTTTTTTGTGTCGGTCATTAAACTTTTGGCTTTAATTTATCCTCAAACCACTAATTCACTATTATGCTTAAAATGTTTTAATACTAAGTTAACACTTCCGGTAAAAAAACAATATGGCGTAAATTTCAGAGATGAGTACTCAATCTGTATTCTCGATGTAGAGTTTTGGATAGATTGATTAAAAAAAATAAAGTCTATAAAGTACTAAAACATCTTTATAATCACTTATATATGGCAGCAAATACATGTCTATTCACAAGCACCACCACAAGCACATAAAACAGTGCACGGGAGACCCGATTTACCACATTTACAACGACCGCGGGATCTTTTTTTACATCAACAATGTACAAGCTCCTGACAAGATGACGAGGCCTCAGAAAGAGCTGTCCAAAAGGGTTTCGATTGATCATCTTTGTCCCTTCGCCATCCATAAGCGCCTGGACTAGGTAGCATAGGAACCAATTCCAAGCTCGTTCCCCATACACACCCGCCTTGGTATATTGCACGTTTTACATGATGGAAAAGACTAGACCGAGTCGGCGGAATAGCCTCAATTAGTCTTCCTTTTTGTGCAAACAGTTGTTTTCTTGCTTCGTTAACCCAATCTGATGAGTTTGTTCGATCGTACATCAAAACCACGTATCGTTCTATCAATGACATTATCAAATCCATATCTGGTGATGTAGGCTGATCAATCATCATTCTAAATGCTAAAGTCACATCTAAATGCCATCCATGTCTCCCACGCAGTCTTTCTTTTCCTTTTCAAGCAAACCAAGATCCCGTATCAATACCGGTAAAGGCATGGAACACTGGAAGTGTGTGTGTGATCGCTGCATGCCTAGTGCATTTGAAAGGTCATGGATAGATATATATCTAAAGGTTTTTTTTACTCCTAAACGCAAGCCATAGTACGTCTGCACCTATGTCACGGAATAGTCATTTTTGAAGGATTTTTGGTCGATGGTAGAAGTTTTTGATGAGTTAGGGAATCCGTTCATGGAAGATTGTCAGGATTTGCTTGTTCTTGATACGAAGGATATAGCACCAACATCTGTCGTTGATACTATCCAACAAATAGAGACGATCGGTAAAACACAGTATGAAAGTAAATAGAACAGACTGATAAAACGAACTGTTCCCATTTTTGAACCAATCAAGAAAAATGGCATTACTTAGAAGTCCTAATGGGAAGACTGTTTCGGCAATGAAGGACAAAATAAGCATACTGAAAAGTGATGTGGCGTTATTTTCAAGGCCCTATATATCTTGTTAGACAAGAGGTGGCGACTTGGAAGACTTCTTTGCTCATGAAAATAATATAAATCCGCCAGCATTCAGCCAGAATGGGAAAATGCGTCTCGGAACCGAATCGGAACTCTCAGTAAATGTTTAGAACCATTGACAACAACGACAGGTGATGTTCCTGAGGTGGATGTTTTTGTTATTGACGGAGCAGCAATTGTGAATATGCTTAGACCATCCACGTCTCGGAACCAAATCGGATCTCTCAGTAAGTGTTTAGAACCGTTGACAACAACGACCGGTGATGTTCCTGATGTGGATGTTTTAGTTATTGACGGAGCAGCAATTGTGAATATGCTTAGACCATCCACATCTCGTACCTTTGGTGATTATCCTGATTTGGTATTCTGTCCTTACATTAGGAAACACCTGGAAACTGTAACAATAGTGGATGTAGTCTGGGATGCGTACATAGACAATAGTTTGAAGGCTGATACAAGTAGAAAGAGGGGAAAGGGAATACGCAGACGAGTCCAGGGTCAAAACAAAATACCTCAAAATTGGCAACGTTTTCTGAGAGATGACGACAATAAGAAAGAACTTTTTAGTTTTCTTCTACAGCAGCTTGCTTAACAACATTTTGAGGAAAAGGTAGTTGTAGCAACAAATGCTCAGAATGTTCTATGGTATCCACCACTTATGATGTTTCAAGTTTAGCACCATTTTCACATGAAGAGGCTGACACTAGAATCATGGTGCATGTGTCTGATGCAGTGAAACACTTAAACGAGTCATGATTCGAAATTTCAATACTGATGTTGCTATCATTGATATTTCGCTATTCCGTGACACAAGGGCAGACGAACTATGGCTTGCGTTTGGGGGTGGAAAAAGCTTAAGATATATATCTATCTATGACCATGCACTAGGCATTGAGCGATCACACACACTTCCTGTGTTCCATGCCTTTACCGGTTGTGATACGGTATCTTCGTTTGGTGGAAAAGGAAAAACGACTGCGTGGGAGACAAGGATGGCATTTGAAGATGTGCCTTTAGGAATTAAAAATATGATTGACCAGCCAGATATGGATTTGATAATGTCATTGATAGAACGATACGTGGTTTTGATGTACGATCGAACAAACTCATCAGATGGGGTTAAAGATGCAAGAAAACAACTGATTGCACAAAAGGGAAGACTAATTGAGGCTATTCCGCCGACTCGGTCTAGTCTTTTCCATCATGTAAAACGTGCAATATACCAAGGCGGGTGTGTATGGGGAACGAGCTTGGAATTGGTTCCTATGCTACCTAGTCCAGGCGCTTATGGATGGCGAAGGGACAAAGATGATCAATCGAAACCCTTTTGGACAGCTCTTTCTGAGGCCTCGTCATCTTGTCAGGAGCTTGTACATTGTTGATGTAAAAAAAGATCCCGCGGTCGTTGTAAATGTGGTAAATCGGGTCTCCCGTGCACTGTTTTATGTGCTTGTGGTGGTGCTTGTGAATAGACATGTATTTGCTGCCATATATAAGTGATTTTAAAGATGTTTTAGTACTTTATAGACTTTATTTTTTTAAATCAATCTATCCAAAACTCTACATCGAGAATAAAGATTGAGTACTCATCTCTGAAATTTACGCCGTGTTGTTTTTTTACCGGAAGTGTTAACTTTGTATTAAAAACATTTTAAACATAAAAGTGAATTAGTGGTTTGAGGATAACTTAAAGCTAAATGTTTAATGACTGGCACAAAAAAACACTTTTTTACATTTTGGTAAAAGTTGAATATTGAAATTAAACAGTCATTGATATTTCTATGTCCGCCATATTGGATATTACCGGAAGGAGGGTTTGAAAGACATATGTGCTATATATTGTGTCCATGAGAAGCACCAAAGAAAGGTTCCTGCACAATATAATGATGGTAGCAATACATTAAAACACATTTCAATTACCTTTCCTAAAAAATACGCTTATTTTAATACAATGTCCGCCATTTGGATTTTACCGAAAGTAGGGTTTTTAAAGACATATAATTTATATAATGTATCCAGAAGTAGCACAGAACAAAGGTTTGCGCCGAATATGATAATAGTAGCCTGATTATAACACCTTTTCACATACTATCCTTCGATAATTGGCTGATTTAAGTATAATGTCCGCCATATTGAATTTTACAGGAAGTGACGCATTTTTTCAGATTGCCTCCCTATCTGAAATCAAAGAGTAAAACTAGAGGAAGCTTTATGATAAATTTCATGCTTGTAGCAGGATGTGCACAATTCTTCTGAATATGCTTGTAGCCGCTGCACTAAATTTACCACCACTCAATTAGCAATATGATAACCAATTTAGGTTTTGCTGTAAACTGCTCTTCACCTTTGTATTTGATTTTCTTTTTTTATTGTTTTGATTCGAGCGCATCACACGAGTCGCATGTAGACGGAAAGCACTTTTAGAGTAAAAATATCATATGGTATCTTTGATGAATGTTTTGGGGGATTTGACTGATTTAATCAGTGTTTTCAGTTTTTATTGCATTTATGGGTTTGAGAAGCAGTATTAAGATGTCTAATAAATTTAATAATGTTTCATAAGGTGACTCATCAACTGATTTTAGCAGGAATAGCACGAATGGTGTCATTAGTAGAATATGATCCGCTGACTCTTTCAGGGCACATTGGAACCGCCGCCGCCCCTTTCTTATCTAAGAAAATCCTTACGTTCCATTTAAGATAATATGTAGTTGTTTGACTTTTGTATATCGTTTTTTGCATGCCATTGTCTCTCTTTTCAACAAAGTATAATCAACCCTTTGAAGGTTGTTGCATTGTGCATCTTTCTCAGTGTCCTGTTTTCAAATGAAATAGTCTCAAAGGTAAATGCTAGTAATTTAATGTATCTTTAATTTATTCTAAAACAGAGAATTGGATTCAATAACTAAAAGAAATTGAGCATTTTTGATCGGAGTTCATCCCCATGTTTGGTAGGTTGCGTGTTGATTAGTCTTGAGCTCATCTTGGATATAGTGCATGCTTAACTCAGAACAAACCTTCTATAGTAGCCTTAAACATAGAAATTCAGAGTTATTACTGCAAATTTCTAGTTGTACAGCTGAAGTGACATTTTTTTTTCATACAGATAACAACATATGTCTGGTTAAAGACCCCAGGGATAGATCAAACAGTGAAACATATTCGTTTCATGGAATAAATCATCCTAGATCATCCGTCTTAATAAACAGAGCCGATGAACGTGGGCGTACAATTCTTATGCAAGAGTGCAAACGAGGTAATACCCATAATGTAAACAAGTTGATCATTAAAGGTGCTGATATCTCAAAGGAAGACAATGATGGTAATAGCTCACTGCATTTAGCTTGTCAATATGGACATCTTGGAATTGTGAAACGTCTTCTTGAAAGTGGAATATTAAATATAAATTGTACAAATAAAGACGGGAAATCGCCATTTTATTTATGTTGTATGGGTGGTCATATTTTAGTAGTAGAATATCTAATAAGAATAAAATGTGATATAAATAAAGCTGACAAAAATGGAATAAGTCCTATTATGACAGCTTGTGGCCAAGGAAATTTTGAAATAACGAAAAGACTTATTAAACATTTTGTGGAAATTAATAGTACTGATAATAAAGGTAATGCATTAATGCATTACGCCTGTTTATGTGGCAACATTTGTATAGCAGACCTACTTATAAATAAGGGGTGTAATGTAGATAATCCCAATAATGATGGTGAAACACCTTTGATAGTAGCTTGTGGTAAAGGATATTTGTCAATAGTAAAACTACTAATCAATAGATTTGCGAACATTTACATTACCGATAATAAAGGACGTTCGTCGTTTTATTGGTCTTGTGTCAATGGAAACTATCGTTTAGTTAAATTCCTAATAGGAAAAGACTGTAATATTAATATGTCTGCCAATGATGGGACTACTCCACTAATAGCAGCATGTTTAAACAGCAATGTACAAACAGCAGACATTCTTATCCAAGGAGATGCTAGCATTAACTCTGCAAATAACAGAGGGGAAACGCCATTGTTTTGGGCCTGTTTCACTGGTGCCAATTATATAGTTAGTTTACTGATAAACTTAAAGTGTAATATAGATAAGGGTAACAACAGTGGGATTACTCCTCTTGTAGCGGCCTGTTTACAACGAAATAAACAAACTGTAGAAATTCTCATCAAAGGAGGTGCTGACATTAAATCTACAAATGAAAGAGGAGAAACGCCATTGTTTTTAGCGTGTGGAGTTGGTGACAGTGATATAGTAAATTTTCTGATAAATGGAGGAAGTGAAATAGAAAAAGTTGACAACAATGGAAATACTCCTTTCATGAATGCCTGTTCTATCAATAGTTTAAAAATTGTGCAGATTCTTATCAAAAGAAAGGTTAACATTAACCAAACAAATTTTCAAGGACAGACAGCATTTTATTGGGCATGCCGCTTTAATGCCGTTGATGTTGTAAAGTATCTAATAGATGAAGACTGTTGTAATCTAAATCAGCCTGACAATGATGGGAACACACCTTACTGGGTTGCTTCCATATATGAATATGAAACAATAAAAAATATTTTGATAAAGAAAGGTGCTGACAAAATGTGATATTATAAGGAGACTTCGCTTAACCATTGTCTTGTGTTAGTATACGTGATTTTTTTGTATACATAACAAATAACAAGTAGACTCCTTACTTCCTTACAAACAACGTTATCTTGCTGAGTCTGTAAAAAGCCCTATGAAAATACTTTCAAAATCATGTTATTAGGAATTGGCTAAAACAAAAAGATTATCAAGGCATACTCATTATATGCTCGATCGATCTATCGACCTTGTCAATATGCATATATCCATCCTAGAAGTCAATCAGATCATTGCTGCTACGTCATTGATTTCAATCAGTCATGTTAACAGACGGAATTGACGCAAATTTATTTTCGATTATTTATATATATTTACTTACAAAACACATGGCAGGGATAAACAATGGTTATTTATGCTGCCGCTGGATGCAACAATAGAAAAAAGAAGAAAATTGACATGAATTTTACCGTTTTCGAATGGCTGTAGACTGAGATACCAGAACGCGATATAGTGAGCCATGCCAAGAGGTCAGCATATGTTTCAAGTGTGCGGTACCGGTGATTCCGTAAGAGACTAAATGACACAGAAATTACCAGCTTTTTTTAAATTACCTTCGACAAAACGAAACACGAATTTCTCATTTTATAGCTATAAATACGTTACCATCATAAATTCTGAGTGTAACCCCAATTGCGTCATAGGTCAAATGGAAAATCCCGACTAAAAATAAACGTACTCTCACTGGTCCGGACATATACCCCTGTTTGCCCATATTCTCCCATTTCAATTTCCATCTGCGATATCGGTCACACGTGCAAATTATAACAGATTCAACGGAGAAATGTTTAGTTGTTTGTAAAGTTTTTTGAATAGCTTAATTGCTTTTCATATATTGTGTATATTATTGGAAATTTATTCCCTTGTTTAGTTTGAATTTCTAAACAAATTATTTGTGTTTTTTTTACTAAAGTAAATTTTATTATGGACTTTAATTTGAATAGTCCTTACGTAAATATTCCTGGTTCGGACTATCTCCTGGATGGGTCACTTCCTTTAAGTCCCCCCCCCTCCCCCCCAACTACCAGTACATTGACCGGAGTTTCGACAACGGTGTCTGGTAATGCTACCTATCCGACCCTTTCACAAGGTTCGGCCATGCATTTTGGGGGGGTACCTACGTCAACTTCGGTGACTCATACTTTATCTAGGCCTGTTAATTCATCGGGTACTATTGGTTCTGTCCCAGGTACAGCTATGGGCTTGAACTTGCAAGGTTCTAGACCCCCATTATCCTATTGTGGGTATATGCTTCCCAACTCGGGCACCCAACCTTTACCCTCATGGTCTCAGCCACCTTGGCCACAGTCTTACCCTTATGGTGGGTTTATGCCAAACCAACCTAGTTTTTGGCCTTATAGGGACAATTTCTTTGGTCCCCCTTCTGGTGTAGCTACTGCACCACCTTTAGCTCCTGCTTCACCCGTACCAGTATCTTTGACTCCTGCAGTAGCTCCTTCTAACCCTGTACCTGACTCTCGAGCTCAATCTTCTAGCTCTTCTCATGGTACTCAGGGTTCTGATCATGCATCATCTTTGGATGGTTTTCAGAAGTTACTTTTGGACTTTGGTGAGTCTTTCAAGGCTGAATTTAGTACTCTATCCAGTCATATGTCTCTACTGGAGAATAGAGTTTCTTCTCATCAACCTTCTCCAGCTAAGTCTGTAGAATATGATGAGAGGGAGGATGATGAGCTTTCTGTTTCCCCTGGGAGTCATGAAAGGGCTTTCCTCACTGATGAGGATGTTTAAAGTTCTTCTTCTCCCAAGGTATCGAAGACGGCCCCTGAGCCTTCTTCTAAGTCAGCTCAACAACCTCCCACCAAGGAGACCGAGGATCCTCCATCCTTGAAGGATCTTAGGGATAAGGTGTATACCTTGATGAGGGATGAAGCACATATCCCTTTTGCCTCTCCTTCCAAGCCGAAGAAACCTTCAACTTTTGAAGCTTCCTGTGGTATTTCTCAGGATACTGTGACTTCTCACAATTCTTTTCCTGAATCTGGCCGTATGGCATTTGCTTTACAATTTATTAATGAAGGTATCGCTAATTCTGCTAGTGAAAAGGTTGCTAATAACAATATCTCTGGATTTAAAAGGAATGTCATCCTTTTCTGATCAGGTTAAGTACAAGGATTTTGATATCTTTGATTCTTCACTGGGTAGACTTGTTCCCAGTTGTGACAAATCTCTTTCATCTTTATTGGGAAAAAGCCAGTAGATGGTCCTCGTCTCACTCAACCTGTTTGGTCAAAGACTGAGAATCTCCTTCGTAGTGCTTCTCAAGTTCTTGGCACAGCCGAACATTTTCTAGCTGCAACCGGACATTTGCTTAACAGCGAAGATTCGGTTGTTCCAGCAGAAGTACGATCCTTCTTACTTCAACTGGATAAAGCTCTAGGTTCATATCAGTTGCTTTTAATGGGTTCTATTGCTGTTTGCACCCTATCTAAAAGAGCAGAGTTTCTTGAAAACATTTCTTTGCTGAGCCTTTGAAAGATTCTTTACTGAAATCTCCACTTACTGACAAGATGTTTGGTTTACCCTTACAGCGGGTTCAAGAGGAACTCAGAAAAACCCTCCTCCAGTCAAAGTTAGTGTACAAGTTACTAATGGCAAGAGGTCGGTTAATGCTACATCTAGTTTTACTAGTACTTCTGCTTCAGGTGGTCCTCCTTCTTCTGCTAAGAAAAGGAAGAATAACTACGGCAAACCGCAGAACAAACCCCATAACTCCGGAAAAAGCTCAGGTAAGCCTTCTGGTGGTTTTAAGGGTCCCAAGAAACCTGGGTATAGTACCTAGGTTCTTGCCCCCTCGTACGTTATTGACATCTTTCCCAGGGGAACATTTACAACCAGTTCCTCAAAAATCAATACCAGTAGGGGGGAGATTAAGTTTTTTCCTAAATCAGTGGAAGAAAATTACCTCAGACTGTTATGTGCTGTCAATAATTCGTGGGGGATTAACACTTCAGTTCAAGAGCCGACCTCCTCTGTCTGCAGTTCCGATAAGTTTGTCTCATACGCAAGACCCAGTCAAGTATCAACTTCTATCAGTAGAAGTGGACACAATGTTACAAAATTCTGCAATAGAGGAGGTGTCGCTCTTAATTCTGTCTCCGGGATTTTATTCCCGTCTTTTTCTGGTTCCAAAGAAGACTGGAGGAATGAGGCCGGTCATAGACCTATCTATTCTGAACAACTTTCTTATTGTTCCCCATTTCAAAATGGAAACCAACAGATCAATCAGGGCTTCAATCCTTCCAGGAATGTGGACTACTTCTCTGGATCTTTCAGATGCTTATTTCCACATTCCCATATCCCATACTTACAGGAAATACCTTCGCTTCGTTTGGAACAACAAAGTTTTCCAGTTCAAGGCTCTTCCTTTTAGCCTGTCTACAGCCCCTTTGGCTTTTACCAAAATAATGCAGGCAGCTATAGCTCACCTACATTCCCTGTCTATTCAGATTCATTCCTACTTGGACGATTCCCTCCTCAAGGAATTTTGCCCAATCAAATTGAGGGTTCAGACAGATTTGGTCATCAAGTGTTTTCTGTCCCTAGGCTTCCTAATTTCTTGGAAAAAGTCAGAGATAATTCCTTCTCAAGACTTTGTTTTCCTGGGAGAACATTTCCTAACCAATCTAGGCTTAGTTCTCCCACCAGAGGAAAAATTTACAAAACTATGTCAGAAAATACATTTATTCCTGACGGTTCAATCAGTCACAGCACGTCAATTCTTGCAACTTCTGGGTCTATTGAACTCTCTGGCAGATGTAATTCCATTGGGACGACTTCACATTCGTCCCCTTCAGTTTTATCTGCACAAGTTATGGATTCCAGCATCACAAGAATGGGAAGCATTGATTTCAATCACTCAGTCTTTATTTCCACATCTTCAAAGGTGGTTAGTACGGGAAAATGTAATGAGGGGCCTATGTCTGTCCCCTCAAGTTCCCAGTCTAACATTATTCACAGATGCCTCCACCCTCGGTTGGGGAGCATATCTGGAGGGGCTTACAATCTCGGGAGTCTGGAATCCAGGCCTTTTGGAAGAGCATATAAATGTATTGGAAATGAAAGCAGTTCTGCTTGCACTTAATCATTTCCAACTGTCTCGAAAGAATCAGTCTGTCATTCTGGCCACGGACAACACAACAGTTGTAGCTTATCTCATGAATCAGGGAGGAACTCATTCACCTTCTCTTTATCAGATAGCCAGAGACATTTTCTTTCTGTGTTTTCAACTCCAGGTTTATCTAGTGGTGAGACATATTGCGGGGCACCTCAATATTCTAGCCGACACTCTATCCAGATCCCTTGCTCCCGTAAACACGGAGTGGGAACTACTTCAAGTAGTTTTCAAAGCTGTGACTCTTCATTGGGGGTCACCTCAGATAGATCTGTTTACAAACAGTCTCAATCACAAACTTCTAACATTTGTGTCTCCGGTTCCAGATCCAAAATCTTTTGCGGTAGACGCAATGAGCCTATCTTGGAAAAAAGTAAAATCACAAAAATACTGAACTCCAAGGAAAATTCAATCGGAAAGTCCCTAATCACATGGCAAAATCAAATGACAAAACACATCAAACGAATGGACAACAACTGTCATATTCCTGACTTGGTACAGGCATTTTCAAATGTAGAAAATGGTGGATTGAACCTGGTTTTATAGCGCTAAACCTCTCACTTGTACGACAGTCTTATCAAATTCCGTTATATTTACAACGATGCGTGAACAAAACAGACATTATAAATAAAATAGTCAAAATATGGGTACAGCAGTCATCACTGTGTTACAATATTAAAACAAACAATTATTTACAAAAAAAGAACAAAAGCATCTATCAAATTAAAAACCACATTCATTGCTTCGCGTGTCTGACGTCAGAAAATGTAAACGTCATATAAGAAAAAAGTTTGTCATTCAATGTTTATTCAAAACAATTTTATAATTTCACATGGGGAATGTTGGTATACAGGGTTAAAAAATCAAAAGTTATGTTAGAATTAATTTCAGAAATAGACCGAGATTTAAAATTGTCCAGAAGTTCTTTAGAATTTTTAAGAATCCACATATGGTAAATACCACTATGCGAGTAAAATAAATTTGTCGTTTGTCGTTCAAAGTATTTTCAAATTTATAATAGAACAATAACATAATGACATATAATAGAACAATAACATAATGACGGGATAGGAATGTTCGAGTACGCCTTCCCTCCTTTCAGCTTTCTCTCCCCAGTACTTCAGAAAATAGCAGGGGAAAATTGCAAGATCATAGTTATTGCTCCAGCATGGCCGAAACAGTCTTGGTTTCCAGACCTTCTGCGCCTATCATGTGCTTGTCATCTAGTTCTACCTCTGATTCCAGACCTTCTGTCTCAAATCAAGGGCAAGGTTCTTTATCAAAATCCAGAAAAACTTCATCTACACGCCTGACTTCTCTCAGGGTTAGCCTCAGAAAGAGAGGTTTTTCTGAAGGAGCAACCAAGCATCTCACAAAGTCTGTCAGAGACACAATGGACAATCTTCTCAGATTGGTGTAGTGAGCGGGAAATTGATCCTTTCCAAGTCACTGTACAACAATTAGCAG